TTTTTGTATTTTCAAAACTGTTCTATCCCCAGAACTGAAAGTGTTATAAAATTCTCTACCTCATTTTGAGAAACTTTTATAATGGGAAATATTATCTTGTGGAAATAAAGCCAAGCGAACTTTCATTCTCTCTTTCTTGCTATAATCCTTAAATAGGACATAGGATAATATACATATATAAAATCCTTAAATTTTAACTTTTAAGATTTTGAGTGTTAGAAAAGGTTAATTTTTAAACGCTTTTTTTTTTCCTCTACAGACATACACAATTCCTTTTTAATTTATGTATAAAATTTGAGTATTTCTTATTAATTACATTATTTTCGTATAGTATTAGGATATTAGGATGCTCTGCAATGTTATAAAACTGTACATGGATTATTATTTCTTTGCATTATATATACACTATATATAAAGAATGTAAAGTCCTTATACACCAAAATAGCTTTTGGGTGCAGAAAGCTCAAGTTATGTGTAAAAGTAAAATGACTGTGTTCTATATATCATACTGAATGCAGTGTCTCTCGAAATGAATTTTGGAAGTTGGCAATCCAATTGCTAAAACTATGAGAGGTAGTGAAAATAGCAAAAGTATACAGCATCACTGATTTAGATGAAATGACATTTTACATACACCACACTCTAAAATTCTGAACCCTCAGTATCCAATCATTTGCATAAATATGCCACTAATGAAGTTGCAAAGAATAAATCTAGTAATGATATAGTATGCAATCTACTGCCTGTAGTTATTTTTTAGAAAGTGCCACTAAAATTTGTTCTTGTTTTAATTATTCCTTTAGTATTATCTGCAATATTGTTAGTATTAGTACCATCTGCAGGATTGTTAAACCCACAGATGATATTAATACTCATAATACTCAAATAACATACTGGAGAATTTTGAAGCTAAAGATCTACACAACATGCAGTATACTGCATGTATACTAAACCACAAATGCTACCACATTATGTTGCAGAAGCATGATGGAGATCCATTAATAAAAGTGATGACTATTTTGTGCCCATTCATAATGTATATGGCTAAGTGGCTCTTTTAACATTTAACAGACAGGTTGTTTTTCTCTGTCTTTCTTGGTTTCTGGGCATTTTTTTAAGAGAATTAAACAAACTTGTAAGTATCGTTTTAAAGTATTGCTGTTCCATTAAGCCAACATTATTTTTGATAAAATTTTATGAAGTTATTTATTTATATGTCTAGTATTTCTTATGAATGTGATATTTTATAAAAAAAAAATTAACCCATTTAAAGTGGAACCTGACAGAATTGACGTATAAATCTTGACTCGCTTACAGTTTTCTGATTCATAATCTTTTCCTACATCGAATAACTTATCTGCATTAATTTCCTCACAGATTTCCGCATCTTCCATACAAAACTCTTTCGTGCAACTAACTGAAGAGAGTAGATCCCATACTACATCATTATCATAAATCTTTATATGAAATTTAGGATGGATGACAATAAGTAAATGGAAATGCTATATATTTATACTTCATTGGGAAACACTAATTGGCACTCATGGAAAGTTTGCTGAAATTTAAACATGGCTAATTATTTCAATGAAGAGAACTGCAAGACGGTTCTTTTGCACAGAGAATGCAGTATTTTGGGCAAGAGAGGCAGCACAACAGTATGCATTTCCCTGTTTGTTCTCATCTTATTGCAGCTACTGCTACAAATGTCAGTTCTCAGTTTAGAAAACAGGCAGCATTAAAAGTTGTCACATTTAGATAGGCTGAAACTTGCAGGTGTTGTATGCAGCCAGATGATGTCTTTGGTCAATGTGTTAGCTCACTCATACTGCAGCACAGGATACATCTGTGTGCAGCATAAGGTCTTAATATTGAAAGTATATGGCAGATTTTGCATATTTGTCATCATTCTTATAGTACAAAACTAATGCAAGGGTGCTGCCAACAGATAATAGAGATGGTATGACTGGTGTAACTTTGTGATAAATACACTAGTCTTACAGCCAGAATCCTTGTGGAAGGATTAGGTGAATTTGATCAGAATTGAATGTTAAACCAACTCAACTCATATTATTAAGTTGTAAGGGTCTGTAACCATTATGGTAAGAGTTTTTTTATTAACTGCAGTGATCCCTCATTAGCTATATGGAGTAGAATTGGAACCTTATAGGGCCTATGTTTCGTAATGGTGCCTTAATTTCATCACAATAGCATTCCACCACATTAGCTGACACCCATACAAAGCTTCTTGTCATACTGTTTCAAGCACAGGATCATTGGTCATGGAGGTAATTTGGAAAGATCAGCTGACCTAATTCCATTGGACTTCTTATGAAATTAATGATTTAGCGGTAACAATTTATGACCCCATGTTATTTAAAAACCAGTCACACCTGATATGCTGCAAAACATCCACAAAAATAATTTTGCTCAAATACAGGTGTGTATCATTGCCAATTATGTAGACACTGAGGATAACTACTAGTACTCACATTTTAAATTTAGAATATTATTTTGTGTTCTAGTTCTTCATAATGTCCTACTGCTATGCGAATGTTTTACCATAACAAATTATAACCATTTTAACATGTCCTGGCTTTATTAGTACAGAAACGTTCTACCTATCTGACATTTAACTAACCAGAAAGCTCAAATAATCAAAATATTAAAAATTTTTAGGGACTTGTTTTTTCCTGCGAAAAATTAAGCAAATGAGAGACTTATAAAGCCATCATAAATCAACTATGATTCCCCCCTCCCAGCGAGATGGATCGATTTTGTTGAAAATGACCTAAATATTCTAAGGTCAAAAAGTAGAATGCAGTTACCAAATGCAGCAATGCCTGGAAAAGGCCAGGGTTCACCTGGACTGCAGAGCCAATGAAGAACTATGATTTTGAAAGAACTAAAACTTTTATCAAAAAGTGTAATATAATGCCAGTAATGGATAAGCACGACATTACAATTAAATTATACGATCTTCACGTTGGTTTTATGCAAATCCAATTAATTAAGAGGTTATAAGTATTTTTGTTTCCTCCTTGCATTTTTTGGGGAGGAGGAGTTGAAATTTGACTTTACAGAACAGCATGCAGTGAAATATTTACAATATTATGGGATTCTGGCAGCAAGAAAGTTTTGCATTAACTGGCATAATATGTGCGATTTTGTTTGAAATTAAATAAGAAATGATATGCAACAGGAAATCTATGTTTTAATGTGCTATATCTGCAACTTGCATCTCTTGATTATCTAGCAAATACAAAGTGATAAGTTCTTTTAAATTTCTGTCAGAATGAGTACATTCTCTGTCAACTTTCAGGGTGGAAAGAATTTCATAATAGAATAAGATGTTTAAACAAGGCCTATGAAAATATTGGCTTTTTTTTTTTTTTTTTCTTTCAAAATCTTACATATTGTATGCAGAATTTTGACACTACAGTTAGTTACAAATAAGATGACTGTTTTATAATTTTAAACTGGAAATTTCTTTTTCCATTCATTTGGTATTTCTACAGGAAACTGCATTTTTTTTATATGTTCAACTATCTGGATTTTTTGCATATCCAGCATTTTCCAAGCTTTACAGGCAGTCAAACATTTACTGCAATTTTTTTCACCCACTTGTACTATCTCATACAAAATTATTAACATACTCATGCCAGCAACTGGATACTGAGAGATCTGCAAATATCTTCTATTCAAGTTATTAGTGTATGTAGGATCTCATTTAATACTAAATCAGTAACCCTTTATATGTGTGGTACTGACTTTTTTCCCACTATCTCTCACTATTTTTGCTAAGGTTTCCCATCTCATTAAGATTGCTAATTTTCAAAATTTGCCTCTAGAGGCACTGTAATTAGCCTCATATGGTGAAACATAGTCATTTAACTGTAAGCAGATACAACTTTCATCTAGCTTTCAGCATACTAAAGTTATTCTGAGTTTAAGAATTTTACTATACATTTTGCATCCATATGTGTGTTAGATAAATAAAAAATCATGTAAATCAAAATACTAACTTTAATTTGCAATATTCCCTTAACTCTCCCCATTTTAATTTGGTTATTTTCCCTTTCCATTCTAAAAGCAGTATCCTAAAATAGTTATAAATTGCTCTGAATTTCATCTTTTCAAAATTAATACATGTCATGATGCATATGTAAAATTTCAGCAAATGATGATTTCAAATTTGGAAACCATAACTTAATATCAGCCAATGGGGACAGATCTGAACTGAATCATATAACTCAGTTGTAAGTGCAATTTCATTGACAAAAGTTTGTCGTGAAGAACTAAGCATAATGTCATTTCATTGCATCAAAACTTATTGTAGACAGAGAAAAACACATTTATTAATTTCGTAGATGAACTTTTCACAGAGACAGGGATTTCTGAGCAGGCGATAGATATCCTGCTGACATCAATAAATGTGATGATTTACAAATTTATGATGTGAACATAAAGCAGCACTGATGGATAAAGATATCAGCAGTCATTGAGGTGAATTGAACATATTTTGTTTCTTGAAAAACACATTCATAATTTGAACTACAAAGGCAATAGGTGCAATCTGTATGCTCATTTTTGATCCCATTTGTGCCTTTTTATATTGTTACAATGATGCAATTGATGAAAGAGAGGTAAGCACCAACATGTTCACAGGAGAGCTATAAGTATAGGAATGTGATGTGTGTAATATGAAAGTTTAGTGCAGAATGATTTAGTTTCAGTTCAGATTGGAGAATACTAAATTTCAGTTCCCAAATCTGAAATCATTATTGGCTGAAGCATTATATAAACATCTTCATGATGAGTATTATGCAAAAATTATATGACATGAACTAAATTTGAAATGACACAGATTAGATGGATTTATTACCAGCAGCAGCTACTTTTAGAATAGAAAGGGAAATTAACCAAATTAAAATGAAAAGTTACGAAAGTGTTGCAACTTAATATTTTGATTTATGTTTTTTATCTTATATATACAAGTGGGATATAAACTTATGTTTTATTTTAAATGGAAAATCTAAATTATTTATTGGAAATGGAAAATCTAAATTTTATTCACAAGGTGATAAATAAAACTATCTGGTCACATGTAGCGTTCATCTTTGGGCCTAATGGCACTAAGTTCCTTCGTCTGCAATCCTTCTTCTTCTAAGGTTTTTAAGAAAAGTTGAATCTGAAAATAAGTAAATTATAAATATTTTTTTTAGAAGGCAAAAAAAAAAAAAAAACTCTTTTGAATTTTTAAACAAAATAATAAACTATATGATTTGTTTCTTACCGTTTATTATATAGCAAAATCTTTTATTTGTATAAAAAATGACAATTTTTATGGAGTATATAACATCAGTGATGTGTTATAACTGTATTTAAAAGTATCATGATATCAGATAAAGAATACTTTGAGGTATAGGACAAGTTTTTAGAGAGATTAATTATGATAAAGCATACATGCAGTACCTGAACAAATGAAGGGATGTTTTTGAAGGGAACTTTCTTAGGGAAACTGATTGATATTAACAATATATAAGGAAAAAATCACGAAAATGGCAACACAATTATGCATTTTTCTTTGTTTGGAAATTGAACCATGGACAAAATTACCAGTTCTCCATGTAATAAACCGTTGTCTCTAAAGAGGGAGACAAATGGATTTCATGAATTTTTCTCATGCATAAACTTAAAAATTGTAGAGAAAAAGAGACAAGAAATGACAATTAATAAAAATAGAAGAGAACTGAGTGGCAATGAAACCAGAAGATAAATAAGTGTGTGGCTAGTAATGCCCTGTTCTTTCAATATATACCACATAGGAGCATTTTAAATTTTTGTCACATCATATCATATAATTAACTAAGTACAAATAATAAACAAGTTTCATACAATTTAAGTCAAAATCATTTGTTATACAATTTCCAAAATATATTGGTTGGTATCCCCATCTCCAGTCATTAAATACATTTTTCATTAACTTGGTAAGTGCTACTTGCATTCAGTCTAATCCTCTATTCCCATTGTAATGCCTGAAAACCATGCATTACAATGGGAATTATAACGGAGGAGGTTAAAAACGTTTATGCAAATATAAAATGGTAGGCAGTTCCTAATATCCTTACAAAGCCTATTTACATGTAAGATTTCAACTAAAGTGCCTGATGCATTTTCCTTTTGCCAAAAAATAGTCTGCTAACAACAAAGGGCATTACTGATTCAAAACTTGGCAGAGAACTGAAAAAGTTGAAAAATTATATATCGGAATATGTATATTTTCTTTTGAATCAGCTTGTGCTATTCTATCAATAACAGAATCAGCTACTTGTGCAGTTTTTATTTTCATTACACAGTGTACAGTACTTCTTTAAAAGAAGCATGGATTGTCATTCTTAGGTCTAATTATCTGAATGCAGTGGGGTATGATGATATTTATAACTAAGCCATGCAAGAATTTTCAAGAAAAACCTTAATGCTTTTACTAATGACTTCAAAGCATTTATCAAATGCCTAACTTATTTCCTGAAGCATAAAAGCTTGCTATCATTTTCCAGAAACTTAGCAAAGGTTGAAAAAAATATGCATATATGAAAAGAACTGCACAACTTAGCCTTCTACTAATTATTGTTAAATTAAAAACAATTCTTAAAAATTCTAACTGCTTTGGTTTGGATTCAAGGTAAAGACACAACTACATCTCAAATCTTTTTGAGAGCCTTCTATGCTAGGCACTTCTTAATATCCTTACAGAGCCTATTACATAAAATATTCCCACTTAAGTGCTTAATGCATTTCCCTTTCACTTTCAATCAAAGTGTTCTAGAATTGCAAAAAAATAGTTTGATAACAGCAAAATGCATTATTGATTCAAAAGTTTGCAGTGAATTGAAAAAGTTGAAACTAATATATAAGAATATGTATATTTTCTTTTGAACGAACCAATGAGAAGGTGGTCTAACATTCTTTTTCTCACGTCAGTCTTTATCAGAGTCTTTTAGACTGATGGATTTTAAGCATCCTCATTGCACAATTTCCATATTTTATCCAGGATTTGAACCCAAGCCCATCAATATGTAAGTAGCCTTTGCTAATTACTGCACAAAATGGGAAAGCACCTGATTACTTTCCTTCCACTGTCGGGTCTATCAGCATTAGAGTTGCTAAACACTAGTTCGATTCCAGGTAAACAGGCTGGCTGCACTGGGTGTTTTTATAGTTTTCACCATGTGTAACATAGATATCAGCCAGTTTCCCTTAAAACGTCTTTTATGTTGGCATCCTTTCCCTTAAGCAGATAGCCCTTGCATGTTTTTTCATAAAGAAATAAAACTAAAAAAGGTCTTTCATTATGAAATTGATCAATACGAGTATGAGTTTAAGAGATCACTATGAACAATTCATTAATTTCCAAAATTACAAAAATTATTGCATAAATATATCAGGGTTCATACACATTTATGCACATGGAAATTAAGAACTTTTAAGGATCATTAGTGAAAAAAATTAAGGGCCTATGAGCAAATGGGAACTGAATAAATTCAATTGAAAATATTATCTATGCCTGAATTTCACTTTTGTAATTCCATCCTAAAAATAAATAGATCCCTAAGTAGTATGCATTATTATTTTGTCACACACTTGGTCAGTCTAGAGGTTTAGTAAATAGCAGGTAGATTTTGTGTCAAACGACATACGTTAAAATGAGAAATAAGATCATAATCAGCATGATTCATAACAATAGACTGAATGTTGTCACCGCTGCTGCTTGTCTAGAGAGAGACCTGCTGATTAGAAGAAACATAAAAGGCCTGATGTAGGCATGGTTGGCAAGTGTTAAAAATTTGTCAGACTCTGTTTGATGCAGTTAGTGTCATAGCTTTGTGTACAGTAGTTCCAGGGGTTGTAACCCAGTTAATATACTTTAAGGTTGCAATAAGCCATTAAAGCACCAGAGGTGATAAGTTGTTTTGTATTATTTTAAGTCTCAGTAGATGTAAAGAATAAGTTTTAATAGAATTTTTACATTTTTGTATTTTATCTTGTGACCACAGATAGTAATAACTACCTTTAATATGAAGAGAAAAATTTTAAGGGTAAGCAGTTAGTTATAAATAATTACATTAGGTAGTTTGATAACCTTAGTCATTATGGATTTACATGACCACTATATAATTTTATTTTTTTAAAATATTTGTTAAAAAGCCCTATTAAAATAAAAATCTAATAAAATTTCACAGTTTAAAATACATGTAATTTATGACACAGATTTTTAAAGGATATTACGATAATTACACATTAAAAGCTACAAAACGTTTATATTTTGTAACAACAACACTCAACAAAATATTTATCCGACATTTTAATTTGAAGCCTTCCCAGACATTTTGGCAAGTTTATATTGATTTCCTTCTCTTTAAGCATCTTTTCTAACAATTAAAGATTTTTCTCAATATGCAAACAAATGCTCTTGCTAGTTTTTGCGTGCTTTATCTCCTAACTTGTCAACCTCTCCACAATGTTCCTATGAGGGTTTAATTGATCTGGTAAAAGATAAATAATCCAAAACCCCCAACAAACATGAAGCATATTATTTTTATGTCTGAAATTAACTTCAATATCAGACAAAGGTTTAAATAAGCCTCTTATTTAAAAAGAAATTAAAATGTAAAGGCATGTTCTGATGCTAACAAAATCAATTACAGCTCACAGTGACATAATTAAACAATAACAGTCAAATTCAAACTAATAATTTGGACTAGTGGTCAAAGATCATACAATTTAATTTTAATTTAATCTGGCTCAATAACTCTATCGTGGGTTATTCAATTATGGCAAAGCACACGAGGGCTATCTGCCTAAAGGGAGGGATGCCTTCGTGGAGGACTTTCTAAGGGTAACTGGCTCGTATACACGTTACACATGGGGAAAACCACGAAAACGCCCACGCAGCCAGCCTGTTCGCGGGATTCGAACCTCGGACCGAACTACCAGTGTTCAGCATCTTTACTGCTCCCCCGCTGGTGGGCCTCAATAACTCTATCATATGAGGAGATAGAAATGGGAAATTATGGTAAAGGCTGAAATCATAAACAATTGGGAAATTTACATAATAATAACTGCACATATCTTTGAAGAATAATGTTCTTTATGTATTCAGTTTCTTTCTTCAACATGCCTTCCTTTTCATTTTAGAATTTTTTGATTTAATTAAGGATTTCTGTTATTCTAAAAAACACTAAATGCATTTAGAATGTACAGAAAAAGTGGCTAATTTTATTTCTTTAGTAATATGAACATTCAGAAGAAATATGGAATATATATAGTAAAGGCCGGTTACAGAGCTGATGTGGCAGAATTTCTAGAATTTAGTGGCACTCCGAACAACAAAATCTAGAAATGGCAGAACATTTAGAATTTAGAGCAGGCACTGGAAGCAGAATTTAGAAAGACATCTAGGCAGCATAATTTAGGATCCACAGAGGTGGAAAATGCACATCAGGTGGGAAAATGCCTAGTGCCAGCTATGTGTATGATGCATTAAGAAATATTAGATGAATCTTTTAAATTGTAAATTTTCAATTTCTTTATTAATAAAAAAAAATCCTTTTCTATAATGCCTGCCCATGTGATAAGATTAGAAGCATTTTTGATATTTTCCATGCTTGTGTCTAGTGAAAAGTAGAGAAAATAAAGGGAAGATAAACATGTTAAGATTCTAGTATCAGAAGTAAAACATTCAAATATTATGTTTTCATCGTTCTTCCAGATGTTCCCCAAAATGTAAGAAATTCATTGCAAACTTTCTGTAAAATACATTCATTACGTGTTGATACCATGGAGACATTTTTCATTTTGTCACATATTTCTGGAACCTTCTAGAATCGTGGGTCTATAAATTTTGCCTTCAAATCCTTCTAAACTTTCCAAGCTGCAATGTCTAAAATCCTAAAGAAAAAATATCCCTACCATTTCTGTAACAGCAAAAAGCCAGAAATATTTTGGAAAAAAAAAAGGGGGGGGAAGTATAAAATTAATTTTATATTGAAAACTGATGCACATTCTGAGAATTTTGAATATTCTTAGATAATTACATGGGAAAAACTCTTACTATGAAAAAATTAAAAACAAGACATTTTTAATTATTTACATAGCTCATTTTGCTTTTGCTAATAGCTGTTTCGTAAATTGTGCTTCATAGCACAATTTATATACCTTGTTTATTTTTCAGATTCAAAATATTGTATAATAAGTTGCCAAAATGAAACTTTATAATATGACAGCAAAAATTTAAAATGTTTTATTTTAATGTTATTTTTTAAATATAGTTTCAATGTATTACTATTATTTTAATAAAATTTATTGATGTTACAATGTTTTAAAAAATCGTTGAAAAATTGTCAGATGTCGGAATTAGTAATTAGTTTCCTAAATTATAGTAGTGATTTAGGATTCAGATTAGTTTCTATAAAATCACCAAAATGTTGAAAAGTCGCCAAATTTAGAACCGTTTAATAAACGAATTCACATCCTCAAAAGTGAAAAGTTGTTTAAGAGCTCTTTATTAGAAAAAATTAATTTCAAAATGCTTATGTTTCACTTCTTGCTTAGAAACTCGAGTATCTCATCTTTTATATTAGAAATAGAAACAAATTATAACTCGTGAACCCATTCAAAAGATAACCATATATATGGCAGTGTATTGTCAAAAATATTCCTCCAAAATGTTAATTCACACTCAAAATGGCAGTCATAAAAACAGACAGAAATTTCAGATGATTAAAATTAAGTACCTTTTGCTGTTTTTGGCCAAAATTAAGAACATTTAAGGACCAAAAATCGATTCTAAAAAATCTAAGGACTCTTAAGGACTGTACAAACTCTGTATATATGCATTAACAATGCGTAAGAGAACTGATTGTCACAACTTTACAGAATGACTGAAAAGTAAAACTCTCCATAATCGGTGGTATGTGAAACATGAACATGGGATTACAATTAAGTTTAAAGAACATGGAAAAAGAAAAGTTGTTTTAATCACAGGTATTTATTTACAAGAAATAAGGTATGCTATTTACAGTTGTTGAAATGAATGATCAGCAACTGTAATACATGCATCACAACAGTGACGGATCTCATGAAGATGCAGATTGACTCTCTTCAAGACCTTATTACCAAAATTAGGACTGCTGCTACAGAAGTATGTGACATGTTGGGTATCTTCCAGGGTATAGACCTTTCACCAATTGAGCATGTCTGGGGCATGGTAGGCCTCCAGATTCAGGCACCACAAAATATCGCTGATCTGGAGCGACAACTGATGAATGCCTGACAGAATGTGTTGCAGGATGAAATCAGGAACCTCTACCACTCCTTGCCTCAACGAATTCAAGCATGCATTGCTGCCAGGGGCGGTTCGACCACCTACTAATTTGAACATTCAATGGGTGATTGTGAACAGGTACTATGACCTTGATTTTTTAATCATTTTCTTATCTGTGTATGAGCTATAACACATGTTCAATTTAATCAAAACCAACCACTTCCTACATGGTGCTTCGTTTTTTTAGCAAAAGGTGTATATATTAGCAAATGCAATTCAGAAGTTATAATATAGCTATAGTATTTATAAACAGATAAATGTAAAGGGAATTAAAGTAAAACAGCCTTAAAATATACTAATAATAAAACTTAGTACTTTTGGTGTTTTCAGTTCTTGAGAAGAGAATTCTTGATGTACAAACAATATTCCACTTTGAAGACATCGTTGGGCTAAGACACGTGCGACATTAATAACAGCATTACTGTCAATAGCACTGAAATACATATATAAAATATGATTAAAACATAAATAAGAACATATTCATAATATTTAAATATATATGAAATTAATGTTTTTATAAATTGATGCTTATTACAGATACATTTAAATATATATTTGATCAAGTTTCTAAAACATAATTTTAGTAAAAAAAGAGGTTAAACATACACGGAAGGGTGAAAACATTATGACTACCTACTTAATAACATGTTCCATGACCTTTGGCCAGCAAAAAAGCAGCAACTCACCTTGCCAAGGATGTCACAGGTTCTTGGTGGATGACTGAAGACAGGTTGTACCAAATATCTAAGCAGCGATCAAGCAAAGTCGAGGTATTCCGACATGGTGATGTTTGAGGTCTGAGCTGCCGCACAATGACATCCAAAATGTGCTCTATTGGGTTAATATCCGGACAGCTGGTTAGCTTGGACATCAACTGGAATTTGTCCTTATGCTCCTCGAAGTACTCCAACACAATTCAAGCATTGTGACATGGGGTTCCTCGAAGCACTCCTACACAGTTCAAGCATTGTGACATGGGGCACTGTCTTGCTGGAAGATTACATTTCCAGTTGGGAAGGCAGATGCTATGCAAGAGTGCAACTGATCCACAATTATGTTTGACAATCTGCAGCTTTCATAGTTTGTTCTACCACAACTAAAGGCCTATTCACAAGAGTAGATTTGACCAGAGGCGAAAACCGGTTCTTCCAATGTGTCCCATTTACACGGCAAACAAGCATTAATTGTCTCTCGGAACTGAAGGTAGATTACTCCTACCTCTCTGAAGCAGGGCAAATGAGGAGATTTCCCATATTGCACTGCAAGATTGTGTGGTTCCCTTAATTTCATTAAACAACATGGCTGACATGCAGCTGACTGCTCACTGGACTGTCAGCAAAACAATCACGATAGATATCTGGGGATACAATATCCAAAAAAAATTAGATGCAACCATATGAGATATGGAAATTTATAAACAAGTACAGACAAGGTTATCTGATGCTGGGTGTTCCTGAAAATACTGTTCAAATTAAACTAAAGGTGCTCAATTGCGCATATCGGCTTCAACATGACAAGGGCCTCATTACCTTTTGAATGACTTTTTTTTTTTTTTTTATTTTATTTAAGAGCTTTCATCTACTTTTTATTAATATTATTAAAATTTTTTAAGACAAAATGGTTTTAACATGAAAAACATTTTTTTGTCAGTAATATTTTTTTTAATTAAAAATTTTTGAAGAAAAACTTAACAATTAAAATGTCTTTCTTCTTCTAAAATTTTGCTTGTTTTCTCCCAAATTTTTTATTGTGTTTATTTTAGTGTTCTTAATAATTTAGAATTGATTTTGCAAGTAATAATTTCTGAGAAAAAAATAAAAACACATTTTTTTGTAAAAACTGAAACAAATATGATCTCAATCACATTTTCACTTCAAATAATTTTTCTTTTCAGTATTTTGCAAAACCCATCCTTGTTTGTATAAAGAATATAATTTCAAATAAGCAGTAAAATATTAAATAATTTAGTCCATATCTGTATAAGTTATAGGACTTTGAGTAAAAGGACTTTTTAAAACAATGCAGACTGAGAAAACACAGAATGTAAACTGTCTAAATGGTCATTATATCATTTCAAATTTCTTACAAATTTTATTACTGAATTTCAATACATACAGATATATACAGTCAAAAGTCTTTAATCCGGACGCGTCGGGACTTCGGTGATTCCGGATTATCGGTTTTTCCGGATTATAGATCATCAGTTTAAATCTGGTAAGATGGCATGCAGAAATTATAAAATTAAAAATATGAAACCATAATTTATAAAATAAAGAGCAATTATGTTCCATACGGTATCAAAATTTACAAAAAAAAAAAAGCTTTATATTTATTTGATTACTTTATTAAACATTTCTTTCAACGCGCGCATGCGTAAAGCATACATTACGCATAGTCGAAATTAGAAAATTGCAACCAGAAAACTATTTTATGTGTATTCGTGATATTTATAATGACGAGGCATTTGATTTAAATCATATCAAAGACGGAGTACATCGAGATGAAATACTACATTTAGTAAGGAATTATAAGCCGAATAAAATAAAAACATCTGCCCTGACAATAAGGATAGTGCTGACAGATCAACTTCCAGTTCATTGCGCATCGCGTCTTCCCCCCCCCCCCACAGAACAGCGTGAAACTGATAAACATATCTCGGAATGCTTAGAGAAACAAAGGATATGCCTTTATTCATTTTTTTGCAGCAATTCCACTTTTTGTTTGATGGACATTGAAACATGCTTTCCCTTTGTAGATCCAGCATTGGAAATTCTATTTGACATAATTGAAAGTTCTAACTTACATTTATAAAATTGCTCTAACAGTCTGCAAAAAATAATAACCCAGATCCAATTAGAAGATTAAGGAACAACGCAATCTGCAACATTAACTGAAATAGAGAATTAGATAATTTTAGCTTAGCTTATACTGTCCGTTATACATTAAACGCGCATGTGTAAACGTATTATGTGCATGCGTTAACGTATTATGCGTTGACGCATGCACAGAAAGTTTGTAGCTTTGAGGTCCGGATTGTAGATCATTCCGGATTATGGACGTCTGGATTAAAGACTTCTGACTGTATACATAAAATAAAACTTAGTCCTATTCAATTGGTTAATACAAATATAAATTATAAGCTTTTAATCAAAATCTTTTGTAATACACCTTCAAAACAATTTTAATACATGAATTATTATGTAATTTCTAAAACATTTATAATCAATATTAAAAGATTTATAATTAATTATAATAATATTAACTTGTCATTTCATTAATTTTTTCAAAAATCAAAGTTTGAAATTTAATAGCCACAAAGCATTTTATTTAAAACCATTCAGTGGCACGCATGATTTTTTTTCTTCTTTTAACCATTTGGTCTAATATACAAATTGTCTTTGAAATTAATTTAGATGTATTTTAATTAATTAAAGAGTTAAACTTCAATAGCATTCTATAGCAATAGTAAGAATTTTAAAAAAGATGTAAATAAACATTAGAAATCTGCCAATCAGATTCAATTTTGTGACATCATTGCTCGCACTGGCTTATTATGGGTTAAGGCAGAGTTTGGGGTTGCGGGACCTGCAGCAGGGGGTGCCAAAAATTTTAGCAGTTTTGATATTTCTTTATCTTATTATAATAATCAGCAAATATTTTTATACAATGTATCTGAAAATAGATAAGGATAAGACAATACAGACAAAGGGAAAAAAAAAATGCTTTGATGCATTCTTTTTATAATATAAACGTTACTTTTCTTTGCATGTGATGCTGTCATTTAGTCTGTTTCACATTGTTCTACGTCTTAAAAACAGAAATTAAAGTTAATGGCCTTAAACTGCAATAGTATATTACAGTACAAGTGAAAAAATTGACAATTTCACTCGTGTGTGTGTTGGTTGTAAAGTCCCACAAAAATTTGTAAATATTATGGGATCCTGGGTTCGTGAGAAGATCTGTGATAAAAAGGGGTCACGACTGAAAAAAGTTTAAGAAACCCTGGGTTAAGGGATGAAAGATGATGTGCATCTGAACTGGTCCTGAAGGTGAAACTGCTTCATACGCATTTTCTCCTTAATACAAACGGTGGCTGTGTGAAAGAGCTTTGCATGTGAACAGGGCTTAACCCTTTCGCGCCTAATGGGACACATACGTCCCAAGCAAATTTCAAAAAATACTTTTGGGATAGAAACGCTTCTCTGTCTAATGGGAGACTTTCCCACCAGTCCTGCCAATATTTTTTAAGGTATTTTCATTCACAGAACATAGATGGCACTACTGTACATAATGCAATTCCCATGTTTTTGAAGTGTTGTAGCAGCTCATTCCATACTCTATGAACGTAAATAGTTTGGTTTTGAAAAATACCGCCTATTTTCGATTAAATTTTGATTTATCTATAAATCTAAGGCCAGATAAGTTACTCACGAAGCGGATTACCTCTAATAAACTGGTAAGTGGCAAAGTTTTACTACATTTTTATTATCGGGACATATGTGTCCCTCTCGTCTTGGATAGTGGGAACACATTGTCCCAACAGTCCTATGTGATCATTTCTCTAGATATTATATTTTTCGGTTACTTTTGAATTGCTTATTATTTTTAATTTAGGCACCATATTAATTCAATCTAAAATGACTCGACGCCGGGGACTTACTAATGAAGAAATCAAAAAAATTTTAGAAGAGTCAGATGACAAAGATATTGATTTGGATGATGAAAGATGATCCTGATTTTCAAGATGCAACACACAATTTGCAGTGCTCATCTGATTCAGACCAGTGTAAAATGGATATCGATCATGATATCATTCCCCAAAATACAAAGAACAGCGATGCTTTGAGTGATACTGATACAGCATCACTTTCATCAGTTGATGAGATACCATCAGCTAATGCTTCAGGCTGCAAACCAATCTTATGGTTTCATGCAGATTCAACTTTCCAACCTCAAATGACAATTCCAGCAGAGTCATCGCCTAGTTTGTTATTCAACTTAAATCGTTCAGCTACCGAATTGGAAGTGTTTCTCAAGATATTTCCAAAATGTCTTATGATTTGGATCTCTCAATGCACAAACCAACGACTCGAAAAGTTAGGACAAACAATTCACACTACAGACCCCTCTGAAATTATGCTGTCCTTGGATGCATGCTTGTCATGTCTTACAATAGGGAGCCGAAATTCTCTCATTATTGGTCATCTAATCCTTCTTTGGGAAACGTAGCAATAAAAAATGCTATTTCAAGAGACAGAATGTAAACCTTGGTGTTGCAAAACTATATTTTGCTGCACCAGAAAAGCCAGAAAATGCAAGTAAAACAAATTATATTGACAAGGTTGTTTTGTGTCCTGAAACAAACCTTCAAACAGTGCCGAAGCGAAAGCTCATATCAAGCTATTGATGAATCAATGGCGAAATTCAAGGGACGTTCATCCCTTAAACAATATATGCCGATGAAACCTGTGAAAAGAGGGATAAAAATTTGGCAGCGATGTGATTCAAAAACAGGATATGTATGTGACATGAACATTTATTCCAGAAAAGAAACGGGTGAAGTTCAAGGCACATTCGGGGAACGGGTAGCATCAAAGCTAACAGAGACAATCCGAGGTAAAGACGTGATGCTTGCCTTTGACCGACTTTTTACAAGCGTGCACCTGATGGAAACCCTGAAATTTCCTGCTATTGGTACATGCATCAAGACACGCAAAGATGTTCCTAATTTTGCAACAAAACTAAGCAAAAAGGGTGAGGCTGAGTTTCTTGTAACTAAAAATGGAACATTGTGTGCGAGGTGGCTTGATTCAAAGGAAGTGATGATGCTAAGTAATTGCCACGAAGCTAAATACACAAAAGTAAATCACACCATGAAAGATGGAAGCAAAGAAGAATTTGAGTACCCTGTGGCAATCGAACACAACAAAATCATGGGAGGTGGGAGATCAAATGGCAAATGTCTATGAATTAGATCGAAAATCTTGCAAGTGGTGGAAAAAAAGTATTTTTTTTCCTATTGATGAGCGCAGTGGTCAACTCATGGGTTGCGTACTGCGAACTCAAACATAAAAAAACCCCACTTCTTGATTTCATTGTACCTCTTGCAGAAGCCTTGATGGCATCCAGAAAGCTCAATGCACAGTATGAACGCTGTAGAGGAACTGGACGCCCATCCAAAACATCACGAAGCTTACTCAATGTTGGTGACCATCTGCCAGTAACAACAAAAACACGACGGCGGTGCCATAAATGTGCACAACAAAAGAAGGAATCGCACATTAAAATAATGTGCACGATGTGTAATGTCACATTGTGCATTGTGTCGCATTGTTTCAAACCATATCATTCGTAATTAAATTTTTATGACTAGAAAATCATTGGTTTTCTTTACAAAATTACTCATTGAAGACTATTGGGACACATATGTGCCAGCAGTCAGGACTGTTGGGACATATATGTCCCGGTCCTGTACAGGGAGGGAGAGCAACTTTCGCTTGGAAAATGGCATTCTTTGACATGATCATTAACAGGTTGAATTAGAAATCATGAGTTAATAAGACCAGGCAATAAGAGAATTCTTGATGAATTCTTCCCACTTAATCACATGCTCTCCATGTCATCCAGACGAGTTCATTGAAAAATGTGGGGATGGTCATGATATATGTGCTCATCAGTCTATATATAGGGTATTTCTACAGTGTTGCAACAAAAAAATTAAAGAATGACAGAATACTTTTCAAAAGAAATAATAAGAAATACTTTCAGAAAAGAAATACTTCTCACTGCAGAATATACAGTTACAAGCTGAATGTTTATGTTTTAAAGGGAACATTTCAATGCAAGGAAAAAGGAAGAGACTCGTAAAGTACACTGCCCCCCTAAAAAGGGGGGCCAGTTCTATATCTCCCGTTCTATTGGGCCGATTGACAAAATTCAAATTGCATTTTTCATGTCTCGAAAGCACAACTTGGGATATATATTAGATTTATATATATATAGCATTGTTCTAACATAGGTAATTTGGTACAAAATTCAACTTTTTACGAAATAATATACCAGTTTTTTTCCATATTTCGATTCTACGATTCAAATTATGTCTAGATATTAAGTTTTGTAAATTTTGGTGCGAAATTTACAAAGAAATTCCAATTTTTGTCTTGGCACAGTTTTTTCATTTTGCACCATGAATAATTCACTTGGCAAACTTCTTACTATACGGCAACCGATTTTCCTTTCCCTTTCATTATGCCGGAGTGGGAAAAAAGGCACCTTGTTATACTGTTGTTAGTTTTCCACTTGACCAAACCATATAAAACTCTTTAAAGAAAAATGCATAGAATCTAAAAGGTAAAACATCTATAAAAACATTTTGCAACTTAAACAGAAACCTTATCTAAAAGTAAAAATATTTAACCTTTTGAGATATTTTCGGAGGCACCATTCTTGTGTAGAAGCAGAGACTATAGTACGTCCACTATGATGCAGAACTTTTGCAGAAGTGTGGTTTGATGTTTTCTTAAAAAATAATCTAAAATAGATTTAATAACTTATATTAACAAGTTAATCATTGATATGAAGATATTAACTACATTTAATATTACTACATTTAATATTCAATCAAACTTCATGGCATTTCCATATGCAGTGAAATGTTTTATAATAATCACTTCTGAAAGTGACTAATATTTCTTCAAACATAAATATTGAACATTACTTTTTTAAAATGATGCCTCCACAGTAGATTAAAATCATTTAGAACACTGAGTGGTTATCTTTGAGAAGTTTGACTTTGTTTAACTTAGGGCAAGATACCTTAGGGCTTTGTTTACCTTACCTTAGGGCAACCTTAGGGCATATAGACAGACAGACACAGAACAAGAACACCGAAGAATATTTAATTAATAAATACTATTAATATCATACAAAATAAATTAAGAGAGATAAAATATATTGAACTAATATAAACCGAGAAAAATAAACTAACAGCAAGGCACAAACTAAAAACAATTTAAGCAAAAACTTAAAACCAGACTGAAATAAAAGTAAATTAATACAAAAATAAAACAAAACAATAATCCTTAATTCCTTGGTCTTTGGTCAATGAACCACAAACATTAAAAAAGGGAGGGGGCACATTTATGAATTATATCTGGATGAAATGTTCATACAATTCACTCAGTATCTTTCCCATTAGTTGCATATATAATCAACAAAATGAAGCTTCAGAACTCATGGCAGCTGTTAAATAACATACCCAGCTTGCCTTGTGTCATCTACAAAATTCCAATTAGCATGTTCTTACAGCATATGGCTAATAACAATGTTTTCACTGTTCAGTTATATGTTTATGTTTTTAGTGTATGTTTTAAAGATTTATTTTGATTAAAAAAAAAGTGTTGACAGTATAAACTTATTTTCCGATATTTTCAATAGCATCCTGATGATTATTCTCTCATCAAATGAAATTTGCTTAAAGTATAACTACTTTTCTTTTACTCAATGCTTTATTTGGAAATACTACATTAGTACTGTAGCTACTATTTAACCATTTATTATTAACCCTTTCCGGCACACAACATTTTAAAATTAAAATTTCGACAGAAAAAAAAAAGGGGGGGAGAAAAGAAAAGAAATAGGCAGTCTAATCAGTCCTAGAGGAGAACACAGGTGAAATTTTGTGAATTTTGAAACACTTATTGTTTTAATTCTGTGAGTGTGCCCGAAGCAGGCACACTGAATGAATAGAGCTTCCAAAAGAATGCTGAAACAAGCATTGCTGAGAAGCACGTAAAAGAGTAAGAGATTTTGCCTACAATTAAAAAACACTAAATTCTGAATACCGTTGTAGATTTAGCATTACTCAGGGTGTGTGCCATGAGAAGGCCTGCTACTCTACAACCCCCTAAAAAAGCTCTTGGTTATATGATGATTACATGCGTAAGAATGGAAAAAAAGTAACTTGGGTATATGATATTTACACCTTTGCCTATTTTTTTCATGGTGGTTCTTTTCGAAGAAAGTGACACCCACCTTTGAAATAGCACAACCCAATATTGCATGTTTCGCACATGTACCGGGATCCATATCAGATTCACTATCTGAAAGCAATTCATGTAGCACTTTCAATGCTTCAGAAATGGTCAGCCCTCTCCGATCCATTTTGAAAATAATTAAAAATCCCCCCAAAAAAAAAACTATACTATGCCTACAATTTGAAATTATAAACTATAAAATAAAATGAAATAAACGTCCACAACTCAAAACTATGAAACGTAATGCTAAGAAAACTTCTCTGAACAAAAATGAAAGTAAAAAATCCTTTGTGTACAACACATGACTTCCTCGCATGGAATATTAAATTGTACGTACTTTTTCTGGCATTTCATTTAAACGTATTGGATTGAATTAAATCTACTTCATCAATAGTGCATAAACCACAATAAAATAAATGCACTCTTTAAAATTTACTGTATTTGTTTACCACAGAGACACTCTGGCGCTAGCTTCACTTAATAGCGTTACATTTCATTCATATTATAAATCAGAATGCGTATAAATTTATATCATTTGAAGAATTATCTAATCCTTGCCACATGTTCTGTTCAAATACTATAATAAATCTAAAACGATGTATAAAAGAAACTAAGCAAACAAAAACAAAAAAGGAACAGTTTTTTTACAGATGATTCAGTATTTCTCATTCAATTAATTCAGTTCTCACTTCCTGACAAGGCAAAAATACATAAAAACTCAAAATATCCATATTAAAAATTATGAAGTAAATCTTAAACACTTATTTCCTCGAATAAATTCCAGAATGGGTTAAACAAGATTTAATTTGCAATAATAAAAGAAGGTGTTATCTTTGTTGTTGCGAAGCTTAGTTTCTCTACAGTGGCGGCTCGTAGCTAAAATTAGTGGGGGTGCTGTTCCAAAAAAAATTAACCTTTGTTTTAAAATTGTTTAAAAGGAAATGAACCTGTTTAAAAAGAAAATTTATTTTGAAACATCATGAAAGCTTATGAGAAAAAAAATTGAACAGTTCTTAATTACTTTAACCTAAACTGTTACAGTTCAATCTATATCTATTTATTTAAAAATGAAATCCATTCTTCTTGTTTTAATTTGCATGAAAAGTTCAATAATTTTCTCCTTGATCTCTGGATAACAACTGAGGAAATTTTTCTTTATTGAAAGCAATGCAAGTGCATTTAGTCTTTCCGAATTTCTAGTGCTTCTTAGAAAAGTTTTCATTCTTTTCAATATTGAAAAGCAGCATTCTGCCTCTGATGTAGTCATGGGAACTCTCAAGAGAATTTTTTATCAGTCTCGGAATTTCACTAAGAACATCATCTATATTATTTTCAAAGATGAATTTCAGTAGATCAATTAATTTGCAATATTCATGGATATCAGACCTACAATAGAATACTACTTGTAGTTCAGTTTCAAGTTTTTCTTTGTCAATCATTGGATATGCTTCAGTGGTCAGTACTATTTCTTCTGTAGAATGTTCATTCCTAAAACTAGCGAAGCATTTTTGTTAAACAATTTAGCAGCTGCTAAGTGTTTAATGGAAGAATATTTGTGCATTATATCAATACATAGTATAAAGTCACATATTTCCTTAGCTGCTGCCATCAGTGTCTTTGAAAACTTCTCACAGTACTTAGAGTTTCTTAATTCTAAAATAGCAGTTTTGAAATTTGTTATATATTCATTAACTTTAAATGCACTAATTTCTCTGGGTTGCATTTAGTTGTATATTATTTCAACATGAGGCATAATCTCATAGAAAAAAGCTCTAACCAAAACTTGAAATTATCATCATTTAGATATTTTAAAATTACTGTTGCTTTTGCAATAGTTTGATCTGCATTTGATGTTGATTGAATTTTGATGCAAAAGCAAAGTTTAAAGTTGTAAAATTAAATCTTTAGCAGCAGTAGCAATAGAAGCTCCATAAGGTTATGTGCTGTGCAGACATTGAAGACAAAAAAAGGTTTTAAAATTAACCAATTTATTAACAATATATATAAATAAAAACATAATGAATAAATTTAAACAATATCAGAAACTTAAAAAAAATATAACAATCATTATCAAAAATTTCACTTAGTTGATAATCCATTAACACCAAGGGTTTTCCCTTTAAAGAATGTTACACTATTAAATAATATTTTACCTGATCCAAATACTGGCATTCAAATACGCGAAAAACATATCCTAAACAGAAATTATGCGGTTTTAATTGAAAATTAGCTACACTATCAATAAGTCCATGCTTAATGGTCAAGAAGGCAGCCTGAAAATTAAATTAAATCCTTGAGAGCACTGAAACTGGCAAAACCGGCCACTGTTAACACGAGGGAATCACGGCTTAGAAAAACATCGCCGCTAACTTGTGTTAAATGCTGCCTTCATGAAGAACATAGGATGCCGCCCACGGCAGTCGCTCACATCATAGCCTTCTTTTCAGAATCCAGGGAAAAGTCATCTTGTAGACTGGAACCACGGAACTTATTCAGGAAAAGTCATCTTGTAGATTGGAACCACGGCACTTATCACCGGACTGCACGCATTGCAATATCATCTTCCAATGGGGGCTGGAACGGCACACCATGGAGCAAAGAAACAGGAACTGAAGGAATGAGACATTCCATTTTCCGCTGTTATACTGGACTTAGCCTGCGTGGATTGCAGGCTTTTGCCAGTTGTCATTAATAAGGGTTCCGGAAGTACTAAAAACAGAACAAAGGTGGCGCAGAGACAAGATGAAAATAGGGAAAGTGTAGCACTTTGCCACTAAAGAGTGTAACATCGTGGGGTGGTGTAAAATACAAATCAGATACAATATGCAAAAAGTTGAAATGATGAAAGTCAAAAATAAAATATAGTTTATTCAGAATGAAGTTCCATAATTGAATCTTGGTTAAATATGAGTATTTACAAAATACAATATTAGCGTAGAAAGTCAAAAGTGGAGCCATGTCGTGGATGGCTAAGAAAAACTTGTTTTTTTAAAAAATATTTTTATTCAAATAATGAAAACATATTTTTCTCTGAAGGGCAAGAGTTCCAGTCAATGGATTTCACAAGAGTTTTTCACTAACAGTTCGTGAAATTGCTGCAAAGTCCAAAATTTATGAGCACTGGGCGTGGCTTAGCACAGATATAGTTGTTCATCAGTCTCAGTAGTGCTCAGTTGACAGAAAATATGCAGTTGTAAATAGCTTATTGAGGAATTGGATAGAATAAAAATAAGGAATGAGCCAGAGTAACGCGAGATACTTATACTTGAAGTAGACATGACGTCATCTCACGGCAGCCAATCAGCTATAGACACGACTCGGCTTTCTAGATGACGTAACATCAAGTTTCGTTTTTGCATCTTAAATTAGGCTGAAACAGTCCGTTCTTAATACAAACAGTGGCAGTGAAAAACGAACTAGAAGTAACTACTATATCCCTTTAAAAATAAGAACTAAACTAGATGTTCTATATATAGCTTATGTAAAAGTTATAATC